ACACAGGTATACCATTATTTTACTCTACCTTCCTCTGCTTAGACATGTTTAGATACACAAATAGTTATCACTGTGTTACAACTGCGTATAGTATTCAGAACAGTAATGTGCTGTACAGGTTGTAGCCTAGGAGCAATAGGCTACACCATACGGCTTACGTGTGCACCATCCAGGTTTGTGTAAGTGCACCCTGTGATGTTCACACAATGACAGAATCCCCTAAAGATGCATGTCTCAGAACATCTCCCCGTCGTTAAGCAACACACGGTTGTACTGCATATTACTAACACCCCAGGGGAGGGGAAGACAGCATCCTGTAATCAAACCCATTTTATATTGACATTAAAACATATGAATATTCACTCTAAGTAGGATTAAAAAAACTTCATGTCATAATAGTTTCGTGACAGTTTATTCTGAGTTTTACTGCCAAATTAACTTATAAAATTTGTTTTGATTTTCAGAATTTTTAGATTTTAGTAAGAGTTTGTGGATCTGTCACTGTGGGCCCATTTGACAATTGTTGGAAACCAGCAATTAAATAATTATAATTGATTTTTAAATTTACGGGTATGGGATATATCTAAATTTTCTTTAATACCTATCATTGACAATATTTGAGAATATTAGCTAGCAAAAATAATTTGCAAACTATTAATTTCTTTCCTTTATTAATTGGGAGTGCAAGACACTTTTGTGATTTTTAAACAAGATGTATAATCATGTCCCAACTCCAGAGATGCTGAGTACGGTTTAGCAGAAGCAAATCCTGGGCATCCGGATCTTTAAAAGCTCTAACATGACACCAGTGACCACCATAGTTTGCGGGAACATTACTGTGCGAGGTCCTCAAACAGGAATTCTGCTCCCTTGAGTTATTCTGCACCCTTTCGTAAATCAATGTACGGAATGACATAATGACAAACAATTTTCTTTTCCAACGCAAAGCGAACATAAAACACAAAAAGAGACAAAATGAGGACGCTTCTATACCTCTTCAAAGTCATCTTTGGCTGAAGGCAGATCAGTAGCTAAACTAGAATCCCCCAGATGCTTCTCCATCCTCTCTCCTTGGACCACAGTTGTTTTAACAACTTTGCTGACTCTACGGCCTTCCACTGGTTCAGCCTGAAATTGTGACGGACTGGACAGAATGCTGGGCTCAGACAGGGTCACCTAATGAATGAAGGACACATGACAAACAATTTCTGGCTGCCAAAATGTAACTATGATGAATTTTTTCTGTGTTAAAAAAACAAAAAACAAGACTATAATGTTCTATACTGGCTTTCCAGAAAACACTATTTGGAATTAGAAAAAACAAACTACAAGCAATTGGTAATATCTATCTCTATCTCCACTATGCCACATCAACTTGAATTACTCAAGTTCAACGATTAATGAGTCCAGAGAATGACTCTTGTGCATAAGAAGCTGACTGCTCAGTGCAATGCAGATTTAATGACCTATGGCTTAACTCTCTTTTCCCACGTTTAAATGGTTTCTTTTGGTGTTACAAAAATAAAATTAGCTCCTAAAGGAGGAACTCTACAAGCCATGAGAAATTGAAAAGCAGATTTTTAGAGAACTTCATGTGTATGATATAAAATTTTGAGGCAAGGAATGAATGGAAAATGATAAGAATTTCACAAATTATTTTCAGAGAGAGTAAATATGTCCCTGGAAGAGGAAAGCAAAACAGAAAGAAACAAATCAAGGAGTTTCTAGATCCTGCTTTGAGTGACGCTGAAATGCAGAAGTTTGAATATTAAATATTTATCTGAAGTGACCATCAGAAGGATCACGTGCCAACCAGGCACAAGCCCCGCAAGACATCTGTGCACGGTCTCTTCACGACACACTGCTTGCCCAGCACACAAGATTTTACCCTTTGAAAATGTGACTTTTGGATTCCTGCTGTGGTCAACCAGGAATTAAATAAAAAATGAAACAAAATGGACCAAAGAAATACAATAAGTATATTGGCCATAAATCTCTCCGATGGTTATTTTAAAATCACACAGAATCGTGACAAAAAAAAAAAAAAATGAATGAGTACGTGAAAGAAGACAGCTACACAAAAGGGACAGGTGAGGCCGATACGAATAAACAATCTCGTCCACCTTGTTTGAGTTCTGTGTGGCTCTTCTCTGTAAAATAAATTTTGGAGAGTTAGGCGGTCTCACCTCCGACTGTTCGATGTCACTCTTCAATACTACGCGCTTTATAACCTTGGAGTAGCCGTCCCCCTCCTCGATGCTGACGGGCTCCTGCGGCATTCCCTGCATGATAATCTCTTCTTTCTCCGTGCCCTCAGAGGACACATACCGCCTAATGATTTTCCTAGTAATCTGAAATATATTTAATTTAGGTATCTTAGTTTTGAGTTACAGCACCGCGGCATCGATAAATTCTAAACAGGAAGTTTGCAGTCAGTCATGTTGGGATACAATAGGCAATACCTTCTTCACCACGGTGTGTCCGTGCTCGTCGACATATTCTTCCTCTGTGACTGTTTCTGGGGGTATGTCAGGCATATCGTCTCCCTACACAGTTGGGAGAAAAGGGTCACTACAGAGTTGGGCACCATTGCAAGGAACTACCGCAAGCGCTTATAACGTGAGGAGTGTTAGAAAATCAAAGGCGAGGTTGAGAAGCATTGCGGAGATACAAAATCCTGTCAAGTAGTTCGTTTAAAAGAAAAAAAAAACAAAAACAGGTGAGTGATAACATGCTTGGGATAATCTGACCAAAGTCAGGTGAAACTTAAACAAACAAACAAAATTAGATAAGCGAGAGGTGAAGTGGGTGGGATTGAAAAAGCCAAATCTTGCTCTTGCTGGGTGGCTCTCTCGGAGGTCAGCTGCCAATGTCATTACCACTGCATTTCTTTACAAACAGAACTTAGAAGAGTTAAGAGATCTGCTTCGTCATGGCCATGCACTACCTAAGGAGCATGCCAAGCCTTCATTGATCCAGGTCGATCACTCTGGAAGGATATGGGGACAGAACTGTCCCTGACGTGCAGAAATTGAACGGCTGGTACCTGAATAATCACTCGCCGGCGGACAACCCTGGTAGTTACCATGGCCTCCTCATCTGAGCTGGCCTCCAGCTCCCCTAATTCCTCTGTTAGCTCCTGGTGGAAGCATGGAAGCATTGTTTTGTTTAACATGCTAAGGAATGACTTCACCACTGGTTTCTGCTTTAGACTGCATTCTGAGAGTTTCACTCACGGAGGCTTTGGTAGAAAAGTCAGCAGGGGTGAAAACAAATGCATGCTGGTCTCAAACTTCAACAAGAATATAGTTATTTTGTTTAATGAATGAAAAAAATATTCTGGAATTCTGAAAGCTATTGGAGAGCCCATCCGTCAAAAGCTGTTCAAAGAAATGAGCAGCTTGCTCACGTGACTTCTTGTACTTAAACTCCTAAAAAAAATAACTAAATGTAAGCACAGAACTTAAGCAGCACAACAAACACTTGTGAGCCATTGACACTTGGGCTTAGGCTTGGAATTATTAACCCAAAGATGTAAGAATATCTCCTATTTCTTTTTTTTTTTTTT